TCCCCCTGCACTCCCATCCCCTGTCACACAAGAGAGATGATGAAGCAGAGGCTGCTCCCATGGCCAGGGGCTCAGTGCTCTGAGCTGTATGTAGGAGGACCAGGTGTGGGTCTTAACTCTCTACACTGCGATGCTGAAGGGATTCAGCCTGGTGGCCTAGTGGCTAATGTCTGCCCCTGCCATGCAGGGGGCCTGGGTTTGGGTCCCATCTCCAGGTGCCAGTGCCTGAGGGAGTCAGCCCAGTGCTTTGCCCTGCCATGTTGATCCCCAACCCTGATCTTTTGCCCCAAGTGGTAGGGGAAGGAAACACCTTGGCAAGCCAAGTAGGCAGGGTTGCCTCGGTCCCCTCCTGTCTTCAGGCAGAGGGGCAGAAACACACTCCCCCATGGGGAAGGGAGCCGGGAGCCCCCTGCCGAAAGGGTCTCTTTTAAGTGTCCAGTGTCCTTTTGTCTTGTGTCCCCTAGTTCAACATGTCCGAGGCGCTGGAGGGGGACGTGGAGGAGCTGGAGAAGGCAGTCATCCACCTGGAAAAGCTCTGCCCAGCTCGGATGCATGACATGGGCCCAGAGATCCAGGGGACACTGCAGGCCTGGGAGGAGCTGCAGAAGCTGGTGCTGGAGAACAAGGGCCATGTGCAACGGGCCGGTCGGCTGCAGCAGTTCTTCAGGGATTACTTAGCCATGATGTAAGTGGCTGCAGCCTGGAGGGCACCCTCCCTTCCAACTGCCCTTGCGATCCAGCCAGCCCTGTCTGGAAAGCTGGGAGCCAGGGAGGGCAGCCTGAGGGCGGGTGCTCAGCTTGGGGTTCACAAGTGTCCGGCCAGGCGTTGCTCTGTGGGGAGCAGGCTGAGGAGGTGCAAGGGGAGCTGAAATAGCTCCCTGGGGAAAGTCAGGTGTCCACAGAAACCCAGGATGTTTGCCACTCTCCTGTCGCTCCCCAGGCTTCCCCACCGTCTCCTGGCCCTTGCCTTCCCCTTCCTCCCATATTTTCCCTCAGCCTCCAGCCCTCACATTCTCCCTCTCTCTGCCCCCTCACGCCTCCCTGGGCTCGCCGCAGAGCCTGACGGTGGCCATTGTCCCCGAAGGCAGCCTGGCTGTAGTCCCGGTGAGAACTGTGGGTGACCGTCTGTACTTGGGAAGCCGGAGCACCACTAGCACAGCTGTAGGGAAATGGCAGTGGGCAGCCTGCGGTTTCAGTCGCACTAAGAGCAATGGGAGGCGGTGGCAGAAATTCACAGGAAAGCTGCAGGAGTCCCTGGGAAGCTTTAACAACACACCAAGTGCCACAACAGTGGCAGTAGCGTCCTGCCAGGTGGCAGCTCTGTTCATGCCTCAGCCCAGGGGGCAACTCCCTGCGGAAACTGAGTTAGAGCACAGCTGTTTCCCCTGCCTTCCTTGCTCGCCAAATCCAGGGAGCAGGGGGCCATTCGCTGAAGGGACGTTCTCCGGATAGTTTGACCTAGTGGAGAATCAAACCCTGGCGTGGAAGATCCGGCTCAGCCTGTGGCCTGGAGGGAGTTCCTCACCTGTGCCGTCCTAGGAAGGGGTGGGGAGAGGGGAGGAGAGCGGTCGGCAGCTGTATTCCCGCCAGTCGTCCCAGTGGCTCCTTATGGCTTTTCCCCCTTGTTTCCGCAGCTCCTGGACAGAGGACACAAGGGCTCAGATCTTTTCAGAGAGCGTGAGTGCTCATGGGCTCCCGGAGACTCAGTGGGAAGAGCTGGAGAGGAAAATTGAGGCCAAGTTCAAGGAGTTTGAGGAGCTGGCAGCGGCAGGGCAGACGCTGGTGTCCGAGGAGCACTACCTGAGTGAGACGGTAAGCGGGAGGTGGACTGGGGGACGCTTCACGAGCTCCCCATTGAAAACACTTGGGGCTCAGCCTCCGGCCTGGTACAGGGCAGATGCGACCTGCTGGGTCATCAGAGAGGTGAGTCATGGGCACAGTGCCCAGCCAAACCATTAGCTTATGGGAGCCCAGTGAGACAGACTTACCAACAAGCCATTCAGTGCTCAGGAGGAGCCAGCCTCAAGCACCCGCCCCGCAAGGGGCAATCAGACCAACCCGCTGGCTGGGGTGGTTACCCACGTGATGGATACTGAGCACAGACCTGCTGGGGCTCAGCTTTCTTCCCAGATCTGGCCCCAAAGGGCCCATTATGAAGTTGCTCCTGAAGAAAGCACCAGTCCCCGACGAAGGGTTCTCAGCGTCCCATGCTCCCCATTGGCTTCTCTGTCCCCGATCCCAGGCTGAAGTTGTGTTTGGGGAGCAGAGGAGGGGAGCTGAAGTTCTCACGGGAGCCCTTGGCCTCTTTGTTCTCCCCATAGATAAAGGAACGCCTGGAGGAGCTGCAGAGCATGCTGGGATGGGTGCTGGTGCGCTGGCGAGCACAGAAACACCACTGGGATGCTGGGAACAAGAGTGATGGCAAAAAGGGCCAAGACGATCCCCTGGACTCTATGCTGAGTGTGTCCCCCAGCTGCCAAGTGAGTCTGTAGCTGCTGTGGGACAGTCTGCGAGTAGGGATGGGTCAGGCCGCTGTTTGCTCAGCCCAGCTGAGGGGCCTCTCTCGGCACAATGAAAGGCCTCTGCACAAGGCCAGCATGGGGCAGGAGCAGATACACAGGCATTGTGTGTCCACCAGGGCAAAAATCAGGGAGACTCACATAAACCATGGTGGCTGTTTCCGTCTGGAGAATCTCGGGGAAGCCGTACACCACAGGCCTGATAGAGGAAGGATGGGCTAGCGGTTAAGGCAGAGGACCAGCAGTCAGGGCTCTTGGGTTCTAGCCCTGGCACTGCTACTCACTCTACAGCCTTGAGTGACTCCCCGCCCTGCTCTGTGCCTCAGTTACCCCACCTGCAACGCAGGGATAATGCTCCTGATCCACCTCCCTGAGTGGGGGTGGGGGCTGTGAAGCTGAATTAATGAATGTATGTAAAGCACTTGGAGATCCGTGAATCTTTACTGCCTTTGGCATCCAGTGCTGTCATGTACAGAGCATGAGAGTCCCAGGGCTCCTGCGTGAGGAGTCCACCAAATCCCACTGCACACCCATAGTGCAGAGAGGTGCAGGAGGGGGCACAGCAGAGGGGGTATGGGGGGAGGAGGAACCAGGTGTAGGGCAGGGGGGTATGGTGGCACAGGGGAGGGAAAGGAGGTGCACAGGCCAAGGGGCAGGCCATCCCCACAACCCCACCTCTTCATCGTCTTCTATTGCTTCCCAGGACCCATGCGCCCAAGCAGCTGTGCCCGAAGCAGATGGCATCCTGGGCCCTATCACTTCTAAAGGCCCTCAGCCCACATTGTGCTCCCTCACCCCACCGCAGGGACCCGGGACACAGCTCCAGAGGCGAGAGAGAGAAGTGGCCTCTCCTTCCGCCCCATCTATCCCAGATCCCCTCCAAGGGCTGGAGCAGAGTTGGGAAGATCCTGGTGACTCCACCCCATTGGAGGTGGAAACCCCCAAGGAGACTCTAGTTCTGGATCCCTCAGAGACCCCAGTGCTGCTGGTGCCGCAGCCTGGGCCCAGCAGCCTGGGCGGGACAGTCAACTTGATCCTGAGTATTGGCAAGAAGGGAGAGAAGAAACTGCAGCTGGCGCAGCCTGGAGCGATGCCGGGGGAAGAGTCCCTGCACAGGGTAGGTGATGCCACGCTGGGGACACACGGCTTTGTCAGGGCTGCTAGCTTGTGCTGTGCACAGGGGGCTTGGTACGAGGGGAGACGGGAGAGACTGCGTTTCTCGATAGAGCTGCCTGGGGGAGCTGTGCCCTAGGGCAGAGCTTGTCCAACTGCAGGTGAATTCAGGGCTGTGGCTTTGTAGGGCTTGGAAACTGCCAGGTGCACTTGGAAGGGCATGGCAGAGTGGGGGTGTTTCCGGGTGAACCCAGACCCCTGGGGCCGTGGTTGAGCAGCAGAGAGCTCAGGAGATTCTCGAATGACTCTCTGGACTAGGGAGCCCCAGCCCTGGCGTCCCTGCCACTCAGGAGGGCAGATACAGAACAAGCTCCCTTGGATTTCAAGCAGGGGGCGGGCCTTTAGCACCGTGGCACCTCTCCTCCCCTGCTCCTCCTCGCTGTAACAGGCCACCCGCGCTCCTCCCTCAATTTTCTTTTTGTGTCTCTCTTTCCCCACACTCAGCTCCCTGGCACTAAACCCTCAGGCTGTAAAACCTTTTGGAAGCGTTGCCAGGGGCTTTTAGGAAACACTTTGGGTAGTTTAAAGCGAAAGAAAAAGCTGTCTCGCCGGCCCGTGGAAGAGGTAACGTCCCAGGGGCTGCATGCCGGGCACAGTGGCTGCATGGCATGAGCTTGCCCTATACTAACACACCGTCCCATCCCCGCGAGTCCCTCTTTGTCTTTCTCTGACACCGCTCCTGGTCCGCCCTGGCTCCCGGCCGAGAGGCCAGGCTAAGGCTCATATCCCTGCTAGAAGGGCTGTAGCAATGGAGGGGGTGAACAGGGAGGGCACCATGCCATCCTGATAACCCAGCCACGAGAAACGGCCTCCCGAGGGCTGCCTGCTGTCACAGTACTCCGCAGAATGAGATCAGTGCATCAGCTGGCCCCGGAGGCTAGGGAATGGGCTACTGGGCCTCTCACCTCTTGGACACCAGTTGCTATCTGGTCCCTGTTGGTAAGTGGTTTCCATCTGCTGGCTGTTGGGAGGTGAAATGAGCCAGAAGGTCTCAGTCCAGTCACCAGGGGGCAGCTCTCCAAACCCACAATCCAGCTGGCGGTTCCTGTCGCCAGCCTGAGCAGAGAGGCCAAGACCTGAATGTGCCAGGGAGTCCTGGGGCAGACTGGTGGAGGGAGGGTGTGTTGCATGAGCCAGGCCTGTCCTGGGAATACCTAGAGGGCTTCAGGGCTGTGAGGCAGGCACTTTTACCGGTGCTGCTTTCACACAGAATTGTGTTTGTTTAATGCTCCCTATCTTGTGTATTTCTATCCTGAGGGGGTTTGCCAGGAGCTCTTGAAATCAGCAATAATCCAGCGCAGATAAGCTGAGCAGATGCCTGTGTGCAGCATCTCTGGACAGTCACAGGCTTAGGGCAGGTTCTTAGGTGTGAGGCAGGCTTAGGGCTCGGTGCTATGTGAGCTGGGCTGGAGCTTGGAAGCAGAGCTGTGACCTGACCAGGGTCCCTACAGGAATAGTTCATTCACTTGGACAGGACAGAGGAATAGGGAGCCAGCCAGAAGACTTGGGGATAGCAGGCAGCACCCAGCCTTGAATTCAGGGAAGTGCTGATCCATTCCCCCTGCCACAGAAGGACGGAGGTCTTTGCCAGCATCCTCTCCCAGCCTCAGGTTGCACAGACCTGCTAAAGAATCTGCCCATTCCAGTGGGGAAGGCCAGGAAGCTCTGTGAGCATGGAAGAGGGGGCGGTGTCTTAGAGCAGGGCTGCCCAACTTACGGCCCGCGGGCTGTACACAGCCAACCCGAATGTTTCATAAGGCCCATGGCCGATTTGAACGCAATATATTAATGGCTGATTCATTAGCGTTTTGTCGTCACGTTTACATCATTTTAGTTTACATGGGTGTGTAAATAGACGATACTGTACATAGAAACACGTACGAAACAAGCTGAACTTAAAATATAAAATCAATACAGGTGACTTTAAATGTTATTAAAATACGTAGAATGATTTTAGCCCACACCAGGTTGTGGGTAGGTTTCTGTGGCCCTCCTGTGTAATAAGCGTGAGCAGCACTGGCTTAGAGAAAGAAACAGGCACCTTTGCTGAGTGGTGGGGAACGCAGGGACAGAGCAAGTCCCAAGTGTTCAGAGTCCTCCCACTTGGCACAAACAGGAGGGAGCGAAATCCCAGCATCGGGGCACCAGCAGTGACTGAGTCTCCTTTGCTAGATGGGCTCCAGCCAGCAAAGGGTACAGGGAGGGGATCTGTGCTGTTTGAACGATGCAGCCAGCCTCTGCTATACTGGGCAGCCAGAGGGCGTGTGGGATACTGCACCACAGCCTACAACTGCTAGCCTCTGTAATATGAAGGGGCAGCCTACTACACTACATCTCCCAGCATGCCAAGCCACTGAGCTCCCTGGAAGCATTGCATGCTGGGATCTGTAGTCCCTCCAGGCACATGATGGGTGATGGGGGCACAATTAAGAGCAGCCCAGCTGGTGAGTTGACCAGTGCAGCCGCCATTAAGGCAGCATTGGGTTAGCCTTGCACTAGAACAGGACTGTGGGAGCTGGTCCCCCGCAATAAAGCCAAGTGACCGTGACATCCTGGAATGTGTCTTGGGCTGCCTGACCCCGCTGGCCACTGTGTGATGAGAATGAGGCTTACTGTGATGTGTGACTGACAGCTGGGCAGGAGGAGCCATGTGCCAGTGCATGCCATTAAGGACCCAGCCCATGAGTGGGTCCAGGGCCATGCCCACCCAGGCAGGTTTGGGCACTAGTGACTTGGAGCGGTTGGACGGTGGGTCTCACGTCTCTCCCCACCCTTGTGTTTCCCAGGTGAGCACCTATCTGCATGTGAAAGAGAAAGAGGGGGATCGAGATGCCACCCGCAGGAGCTCGACCATGCCACGGCCAACCAAGCGAGCGCCCACAATAGCCCATGCTTCCCTGGTCCCAAGCCCTGGGCCTGAGGCTGCCTTCCACACCCTGCCCAAGATCAGCTCCAGCTCCCTCCTCAGCAGCCTGAAGAGAAAGGGTCAGGCAAAGGCAGAGGATGCTCAGCTGTTCACGCCGCAGGGCATCATGGGAGCAGGTCCCAGCAGGCTGCAGCCTTTGCTGGAGGAGAAGCACAATCCCAGCAACACTTGGCCTCCCAAGTGCAGCAGTGGGAAGAAGTTGGCAGGGAGGCCTCCAAGCCCCAGGCTCGGGCAGCTGTTGGACCTTGTGAAGAACCCGCTGGGGAGGGCCATTGAGGCAGAATGTGGCATTGTCAGGGCGGCATCTGGTGGCCCCAAAGCTGAATTCCTGAGCCAAGCCCGGGGGTCCAGCAGTTCCCAACCGGCGGTGGCAAAGAGTGCTTGCCGGCACCTTTCCCTGGGGTCTGTATTGAGCTTGGAGCTGCCGAAGGACCTTGGTCTCCTTGGTAACGTCCAGGACACCATTAAAGTAGCACAGAAGGAGATGCCAGGAAGGGAGGAGGCGAGGCAGGACGGGAGGGTGATTCCGTGGGACACCAGTCGGGCAGAGAGGGAGGCGAATGGGGCCAGCCCGCAGAAGGAGACACTGAACCAGCCGCTGGCCACATGCCAAAGGCCCAGCGGGCCAAGGGATGCTTTCAGGAAGGCTCCTAAAAGCGAGGGAGGCACCTGGTTCGAAGAGGTGAGCTTCAACCCAAGCTACCGCAGGCCAAAGGCGCACGGCGTGGGTGCCATCCCCTGTGGGGAGGAGCGATGGACTCCCAGGAGCCAGGGCAGTGATGATTTCCTGGACTTCAGACTGAACCGGCTCTCCCGCATCAGCGTGCTGCATGAGCAGATTGGGCGCGAGTGGGACAAGCTGGCGGCCACGCTGGGCACGTCCAGAAGCGCGAAGGCCGAGAAGCCAGCAGGCTGCAAACCCAGACTCGGAGAAGCAACTAAGGCAGAGCTCAGGCCTTCTCCCACTAAGCACACGAGTGGTGCCGGAGGAGCCCCCAGCACAGGCAAACCAGAGCATCCTGCAGTGAATGGCAAGCTAAAGAAAGATCCCCCAGAGCATCGTCTAGAGCCTGCCCCCTTCCAGGAGGCCACGGAGGAAAGCCTGATGGCACGCTCTGGACGGTGTACAAACCTACCGACCCTGCTGTCTGTGTCTGAGTGCCAGCTCGGTGCCCAGCCGCGTGGCCTGGCGTCAGCAGGGTTAGACTGCCAGGGCCTGGCTCCAGACAGAAGGGCGGCCGGATCAGGGCTGTCCAAAGGGGCAAAGCTCCCAGGCTCAGCCGAGGTTTGCCACCCCGACCACGAGCTGTTTGAAGAAGAGGAGGAGGAGCTGCAGGCCATCTGGAGGAACGTGGAGGGGCGCAACGAGCAGAGCCCCTGTGCGGACATTGATGCCCACCCCACGTCGGGGAACAAGGCAGACAAGGCACAGAGCCCAGAGGTTTCCAGTGGGAGACTGATCCTAACATCAGCGAATAACGTGCTGGTGGCCAAGTTCACCCTTCCCACCTCCACCCAACTCCTTCAGAGCCCAGACGGGGAAAGAGGCACCAGTGATGGGCACGGTAGTGAGGGCAGCCCACGTGGGTTCTGGGCGTCCTTCCCCTGTCAAGACGATCCCCATGGGGCAAAGGAGGCTGCATCCATCGGATCAGTGGAGGGCACCTGCCCACAGAACCGGCAGAAGCATCAGGAAGAGGACAGAGACGTTGGCAAGGTGAGTGGGCTTTGTGTCCTGTTCCTTGGGGACTGGGGGAGATCTCCCAGAAGCTGTACTGTCTCCTTCACACGCTCTCAGGCACTGCAGTGATGGGGCCAGATACCTAGATATTCCCTGCTTTATCCCAGGCCTCCGAGCCACAGTTCCCCTGGCTAACCTGCTCCTGCACTGGCCACAAAGGGTCACTCGTGAGCAGCACGTGGGGCTTAGCTGGATGTCCGAACACCATCTCCAGCCTGTGCCAAGGCTCAAAGCCAAACCTCACCCACAGCCATCAGCAGGGTCAAACCCAAGCGTTTCAGCACCAAAATCACCTCCTCCTGCCACTGGAGCTGAAGCAGTAATTCTGCTAGCTGGAAGTCAGTAGCAGGCTGAGTCAGGTGCAGAGACTGGCCACTAGAGGGAGATGTGAGCCCATGCTCTCTAAGCCAATGGCTCTCAACCTTTTGTACTGGTGACCCCTTTCACATAGCAAGCCTCTGAGTGCGACCCCCCCCCTTATAAATTAAAACACTTTTTAATATATTTAACACCATGTGCAAGGGCGCAGTCTTGCCCTGTAATGACTCGATGCACCAGAAGGATGAAAGGTCTATGAGTGCCAGCTATGGGAGTTCTCCTGTAGCTTGAGTGAAAGAGGACTGTGTTTTGGAACTGAAGGGCTGGGTTCTAGTCCTGGTGATTTCTGCAGCAAGGGGGATTTATAACCCTATCAGGACAGAAATGTATGCACAGGGCTTACTGCAAATCCAGGCCAATGTGAGGAAGATGGTTTCTGTGCTGTGGTTCCCTGCTCTGCAATTCACTGCTGTCTTCTGGTCCCAGAGGCCATCGATGGGGCTGGGAAGAACCATGTAGTTAACGGGTCAGGGATACAGGATCCCAAGAAGGTCCCATTGCACAGCACTGCACTGTCACCCCTGAATCTGCGCAGCATTGAGCCTTCCCACTAGGTCCAGAAGGGCAGCAGACGTCCCTATCAGGACACACATGGCCCCATTATAATCCCTCTGACAGAGACTTTGACCCCAAATGACCCATTTGCCATTGCAGGCTTCAAGTTATGCTCCTGGCTGGGTGTGGGACCCCCTGGATTGCTGGCTGCTGGGGACTGCACTCCCAACAGCCCAGTGGTGCTGGGGCTGCTTTGCACATTGCCTGTCTCCTTGCAGACGCCCCCCAGTAAAGTGGAGTTTCAGATGATGGAAGGGACTCTGGAAAGGAAACACGTGTTGCAGACGGGAGGCAGAAAGGTACAGTAGGAGCTGCCCGGCCTTCTCTGTGGGCCCTGGGCTACACGACTGCATTTCCTTCTTTAACTTTATCAGTCTCTAATCACACACACAGTATGTTAGATACACTGCCAGAAATGAGGCCTGTGAGGCTCCTAAGTGCATACCTAGACACGCAAGCCAGTGGCCCGGTTCTCAAAGGTGCTGTCACCCAGCAACGTCCATCGTCTTCACTGCGAGGTGTGGGGTGCACGGCACTCCTGGCAAAGCAGCCTGGCTGTGCACTCAGGGACTTAACGGAAGGTCCCCACTGTTGAAAATCTTGGTTCCTGTTTTGAAGGTAAAATTTATAAAACCCCCAAAGGGGAAATTCTGCCCATCTAAACAGCTCCTTGAGCGTTTTTCCAGCGGCTTCCAAGCTGTGGAGCTGGTGATTTGATCTCCCAAGCTGTCCAGAGCACTTCTCGCCAGTCGTACTTACCTTCTTTCTAAGCAGGGGAAGCCAGTGCTTAATCAGGACTGCAGTTCTGTAACACTTCAGTGCATGGCTTTGATTATAGGATCTAAGCAGTTGCTGAGCTGTTATTAAACATTCCCTAAACGCTGGAAATCGACCCTGGTCAGCATCCGCGGCATGGAGCTAGCGGCTTGATATTCCTCAGGACACCAGTCATTTATAGCAGCTTCTAAGATTGTACAACCCCACTCAGGCCTTGCCAAGCGATGGTATCACATTGGAGTCAATCTGCAACACGCCCGGTGACATGCCACAAACAGGGAGGAATTAGTGCTTGGACATTGAGGGCCAGATCTGCAGCTCTTGTAAATGGGTGCAGCTCCATTGAAGTCAATGGGCCGGATCCTCAGCTGGTGTGAATCAGCACAGTTCCATTGAAGTCAGCAAAACTCTACATTGATTTACGCCAGCTGTGAATCTGGCCCTAGGTCTCCTGCGTTAACAGCACCCAAACGTGTGTTTGCAGGATCTCCGGGGGGAGCTGCACCAAAGCGAGCTCGGCCAGGACTGTTTTCTGCAGCGTTGTGAGTGGCTGTGTAGGGACTGGCAGGCACTGAGTCTCCTCCCTGCTGCCTGCAGGCTCAGCCCTGTGAACACTGGGCCTTGCAGGGACCTGAGGGCTTTTTGAGGATGATAAATGATTTTTACTCCCCAAAACATGAGCCCTGGACTTACTTAAACTCTGTGTCAAAGGAAATCAGCCCTAGAGACACACTTGCTGTTTACGCTGTCTCTATCCCCTTGTCTGCACTTGAAAGCAACCCTGATTCAGCCATTGGAGGGGGGAGCAATCGGTATAGCTGTGCCAGCGCTAACCGCTAACTGCAGACAAGGACAAGCTGTGATTTGTCCTGCTTGTGTGTTGGCGTCTTTCCCAAATTAAGTAACCCAGGTTTGCGTCTCTTAGCCAGCCTGGGGCCCCATCCTGCTGCTCCCACTGTCTGCGGTGTTAGTTGTATGCACTCGGAGCTCCTGGGGCATCAGCTGGCACGCGTGTTTCAGTGCTGCAGCTGGAGGAGAAGGGTGCTGGCGGGGAAGGGGAATCCCGGGAGCTGGCACATTTGTACCTCTCCAGATTCCTGACCTATTTGGCAGTGCCACAGAGATCCCTTGAGCCCCCACTACTTTTTAATGGCCCTGTCACTAGAAAGCACCCAGATGCACCACGTTCCTGCTAACTCGTCAGAGCAGGAGCAGCATAGCAGCCTGGCACTCTCCCCGGACAAGAGTAGAGCTGCAATGCTGACTGGGCCAGGCCTCGCCCGCTTCACCTTTGGCCTCTGCTTCTGATCTCTTAGGCAACCTGTCGCACCTGGAACCTGTTCCATGCAGTGCTGATGAGGCAGACACTGTGCTTCTACCAGGACAGGAAGGACACTCTCAAGGTACGGTGTGCAGCTGGACCCCTCCCAGGGAGAGGCGGGGTGGGGATATGAGACTGACAGTGAGGATAGAGCAGTGTCCACTGGTGAGAGCAGGAAGAATGGGGGCCGGGACTCCTGGGTTCTGTTCTTGGCTCTAGGTGGGGGAAGGAAAATGCCAGTGGGAGTGGCAGTGGTTGAAGAAGGGGGGGACTCAGAACTCCTGGATTCACCACTTATTTACTGCGTGACCTTGGGCAAGTCCCTTATTTATGCCTCAGTTTCCTCCTCGGATTGCAGACCAGCACTGGAACAGCTGTCAGAGGTTGTACAGCTTCATTAATGAATGCGTGCAAGTGCTTTGAGGAGCAAATCATCATCAGTGGCAGGGGGCTGCAGATAGCAGGGCTGGGCCAGCTGGGGGAATGAACCCCTCACCTCCCAGACAGCACATATGGCTGAGGTCTAAGGTGGTGGGGCTGGCGAGGCGAGCAGGGGGAGCAAGGATCTCTAGGAAGATGGCTGGAGCTGAGAGGAGAACCGTGGGCTCTTGCTGTCCAGCCTGTCTCCCTGTGCCTGGGCCTTTGGCTGGAGGGAGCCCGGTTGTGTTTGAAGGGGCAGGACAAGACTCCCACCCATGCAGGTGTCCCCGCTACCCCAGGAGCCTGCATGATCCTCTGCTGCCGCCAGCCTCTTGCAGGCCATTAGGTGGTTGGGGGTTGGTGCTTGGGGTGCTCCTCCTAGGTGCTGGGTTGCTGTGAGCCGGGAGGTGGCCTTAGTTTCCCAGTCTCTGGGTGACACTGGCACTGCATCCAGGGGGAGGGGATACAAGCACACAATATTCCCTTAGCTGATTATGCCAGAGACCCACTGAATGGCACACACAGGGAATCACTCACCTTTCACACCTGCATGGCGCTGCCTGCTACCCCGGTATCCCCCATCTCCAGCTCTCTGCTCCTCACAGTGTCACCCACCTACAGGGCACTTCCACCCCCCTTGATGCCCACAGTCTCTAGACCGTAGAACAACGTTGCTGCTCACCAGCCTTGCCTTTCGTGAACACCCACACACACACGGCCTGCTGGGCAGGAGCAGCTTTGTCCTGGCTGTTACCCCTTGTGGCAGATCCTAGGTGTGGTGGGGACCACGGAGCAGGATGGACACCAGTTAGTTGTGAGTCACAGGCACAAGGGAATCCTGCTAGGCATGGGGAAAAGACCCTCCAAGCCTCAGAGGCCTCACTGTCGTCTTTGCTGTCTCTTGTGCTGCAGAGCTCCGTGGTGGCCCTGCCCCTGAACCTCTCGGGAGCACAGTGCACCCGGGAAACAGAGTATACCAAAAAGACCAACTGCTTCAGGCTACAGTGAGTAACCCCAACCCGTCAATTCCACAGAGCTTCAGGAAGCAGGGCCAGCTCTAGGCACCAGCGTTCCAAGCATGTGCTTGGGGCAGCCCTTTTCAAGGGGCAGCATTCCAGCCCTTTGGGGGCAGCACTTTTCAAGGGATGGCATTCCTGCCCTTTTTTTGTTTTTGTTTTGTGTTTGCTTGGGGCGGCAAAAAACTTGGAGCCGGCCCTGTCAGGAAGGGTGGGCGGTCCCATAAGTACAGCGCCTACTGCGGGCCTCCTTATAGTGCTGTGATGAATGCCCTTAATTGACCACACGCATAGCCAGATAATGGTAAGCAGTCAGCTCCGATGAAATGCCAGCCCCTCAGCGTTGGGGACCAGGCCCTAAGCACTGAGGCATGGTTCCTTTGCCCTGGGGCCTGTAACCCAGAGGGAGTTAATATGGGGTTCTAGTGTAATTCCATCCTCTATCCCTTTGGCTCCTAGGCTGGTGGGGTTGGGGAGGGGTGGGGTAGGAATTTGCACCTCATGTCATCGTTTTGCTGACTTGCTATTTTCCTCCCAGGCTGCGGGACGGCTCTGAGTACCTCTTGAAAGCTCCATCCCAGCTGCTCATGAACCAGTGGGTCTCCAAACTGCAGCAGAATTCAGGTGAGGAACACTCCAGCTACTGGCAGAGCAGGAGGCAATGCAGGGATGGAGCAGTGAGGGGCACGGGCAGAGCTGTGTGGGGAGCCCAGGGCTGGGATAGCAGGGGGGCTGCAGGTCAGGGTGAGGGGCACGGGCAGAGCTGTGTGTGGGGAGCCCAGGGCTGGGATAGAGGCAGGGGGGCTGCAGGTCAGGGGTGAGGGGCATGGGCAGAGCTGTGTGTGGGGAGCCCAGGGCTGGGATAGCAGGGGGGCTGCAGGTCAGGGTGAGGGGCACGGGCAGAGCTGTGTGTGGGGAGGCCAGGGCTGGGATAGAGGCAGGGGGGCTGCAGGTCAGGGTGAGGGGCAGTGGCAGAGCTGTGTGTGGGCATCCCCTTCTCCTAAGTTTCAGGGCAAGACTTGATTTGTGACCTCACGTGCTCCAGTGTAAATCAGGAGTGACTCCACTGATGCCAGCTGAGTCCCCCTGCCATAAAACTGGTGAGATCCCATGAGGTTGAGGTGCTCCTATGGGCATGACCATTAAACAAGGTCTGTGCACAGGCAGGCGGCTCAGGCATTGTGATGAAATCCCAGCCAGGTGTGAGAGAGAATCATTGAGACCCCAGGGCAAGAGGAGCCAACCCCTGCCGTGGGCCAGCGTGAGTCCCTGGCCTGTCCCATACTGCTCTGTTCCACAGGGCACCAGGGGATTTGAAGCACATGTTTATTCAGTACATATCCTCCCCCTGTTGCTGGAGGTTTCCAAGTGAGAGCGTGATCCTCCCCAATGCCCAAATTCACCAGATTAAATCTCGGGGGGTAGCTGAAGGGTGAGAGCAGGAGGGGAACTTCCCAGATTCCTTGGAGCCAGAGGCTCCAACTTGAGGTGCTGCTCTCTATGCAGTGAGAGTCCCATGCAGGTTGCTGTATCTGCATCTCTCAGACCAGACCTTAGAGCCTACATTCCCTTCTGCTCTGCAGGGACACTCAGGATTCCTGGGCACACAGGATTTTGCCCATGTGCTGGCCAAATTTTCTCTTTGCTGCCTCTCCCTGTGGTGGAGTGGTTTGTGTGCCTGGTGCTGCCCTCCACCCCAGAGGTGGCTGCATTTCCATGGTGCTGAGTGTCTGAAATTTGGGCATCTTGCTGGGCTTCTCGGGAGGAGAGGAGCTATGTAAACAGCCAAACATTATTGTTCCGGTGCTGAGCTGTGGAGAAGGGTTTGGGCTGGTTAGTTTGCAGACACTGAGCCAGGACCCGCTTCCCTAGTTCATTTTCATCCTAGTGCCCCTTGATGTTGTGAACATGGACAGAAAAATAGCTGCAAAACGCCCCCATGTGAGGCAGGGAAGGGCTTTGTGAGGGAATGCGCTGTAAGGGGGTGTGATTTCTAAAGCACACCAAAGTGTTGTGCATGAATTGCTCTGTGTAGACCCTGCTGGTGTACAGCAAAGGGCTTTAATGTAGTACTGTTTCAAACAACACTGTGTTAAAGCACACCAGCAGGGTCTACGTGAATCAGTTAATGCACGTTAGTGTGCTTTTGAAATCATAACCCCATAGAGTGAATTACTCCCCCTTGTAAACAAGAAGCCCTTTGTACATGCAGCTGGGTTGCTCCTCACACCCAGATCTGTCAGACCCCCCCACACCGATTACTGTCCCTCGGTGAGAAAAAGTGCTTGGGGTGTGTACCCTATGTTATGTACAAATTAGACTTTGGCTTAAAGTTAGCCAAAGTGTAGAGGAGTCTGGGAAATGGAGGTTGCTAGTGTGAGAAAGTTAGAGATAAGTTGGAGACAGTAAGAATATTGCAGTTATCAAGGACATGAGCCATGCTATGGTGCCGTTATGTTTTGGTTATAACTGCTTCAAGCAGGGTTTTGAATGAGTATTTTTGAGAATTGTGAATGTTTTTTTTCCCAATTCTGTCTGTATTGATAGAATGGGAAGGATGTTGGTTCAGATGTTCATTTACATAATGTGTAATGTAAAGAGCCAATAAGGAGGAGGAGGAAATATAATTATGGTAAGGGGCAGTGTAATGTTAGGTAGTACGATAATAGATTATAAAAGGAGTCAATTTGTTAATTTGGGAGGAGCTCCACTTAACGTCCAAAGGGTCCCGTTAGGTTCCAGGATTATCAGGTTGGATGTCACTCTGTTGTCAGTGGTCCAATCGCTCGCTGACACGCTATTTCATCTTCGTTTGCAAGTAGAATTGTGGTACTCTGTAAGTAGTAATCACATCCCTGTTTGCTTAGCGACGCATTTTGCTTTTGAATAAAATTTAGTTTCAGCATTCTAAGTGGTCCTCTACTAAATACATTTTCCGTAACCGACCTAGAGGCTCAAAAACTAAGTTGGGTTTTATTGCACCCTTATCTTTAATAACTCCATATTAACTGGAAACATTTCAATATAAGGTGACAGCTCGCAGACAGGCACTGCCCTCACCCATCCCAGATGCCAGACCATCTGCGGCTGCCCAAGGCAGCCTCCGTAACCCATTCCCCTAGACGGGAACCTCTGCTGTTGACCTGACACTGAGCACAGAAGGGCAAATCCTAAGCCATGCCGAGCAGCCGCGACTCTCAGCACCTCTCTGGCATTGGCCCCAGGTGGTTCAGCCCAGTGTGGCGTGAGACAGGCCCTACTGTCTGTGGATTTCAGGACTCTCGTTGGTGGCTCTTTTCCACGTTATCAATAGATATTTGTTTGCCCACAGGTTTCCCTGAAGTGGATTATTTCCAGGCACTCACGCAGCCTGCTGAAGGGACCAGCTCTGCTATGGGGTGAGTGCTGGGAAACTCTGTCCAATCAGTGAGCAGGTGGTGGCTAACGCTTGGCATTCAGAGCCACTCATGCCAGGGCCCTGCAGCGTAGCTGAAGGGGGCTGTGCTGACCCAATGAATTAGCTGCGCTGCCCAGGCCAAAACTCTTTCCATTACCTGCCCATGTCTCTAACCTCTCCACGTCCCTTTGGATATTGCCCCATCTTCACTGGGGTTTGCAGCTCCTCCCGGTTTAGTATCACCTCCCAACCCCATTAGCATGCTGTGTTACCCAGCCTCCTGGGCCTTAAAGAAGCTTCAGGTGAGGCAGGCTGCGGCCTGCATTAGATGCCTCCCCCACTCAGAGCCCCCAGGTAGGGGTCCTGCCCAAGCTAGTTTGAATTGTTTGTGGGTCAGATTGCCTGAGGTGAGCAGGCCCTCTCTGCAGGTGAGACAGGCTCTGTAAATCTGAATCTCTGCCACTCCCTTTCATACCCAGACCCAGCAAGATCTCTGGGCCTGGAAGCTCCAGCTCTTCCCACCTGCTGGGACATCATCAGCCTGTTACAGCCAAGAACCAAGAGATCACACTGCTGCCCAGGTCAAGTGCCAGGCTGCAGCTGCCTTATGGGACTCGGGAGGACACACTGGATTCAGCAGCCTCACAAGCAGGTGGGTGGGTGTGGTGACTTCCCAGCGCCCCAGCCTGTTGGGGCCTCTCCTCAGGTGCCTGGCTCAGTCTCCCTTGCTCCCTGTAGCAGAGCAGTGCTCCTCACACTACTCTGCTCACGCCTGGGTAGGTGGCTCCATAATAACCCCCGCCCGAGCTGCAGATTCCAGCATCGTGTCCTGAGTCCTTCCGCCAGCAGGGCCTTCCTGCACGGTCTCAGGGCTGGTACAAAGCACGTACGAGTGACACCAGACATTGTGTGGTGGGAGGGAGCCAAGCTGAGTGGGAGACGCTAATGTCCTCAGAATCCTCTCTCCAGCTGGAGAGGCACCAGGGACTCGCCCACGCTGGAGTTTGGGCAGGACACCTGGGTTAACCTCCCCACACCTCACCCCCATCCCAGCTCCTGTGCAATGCCCTGGCCAAGCCACCTCATCTGGAAGATGACCCCACTTGGAATACTGCTGCTCCTAGCACTGCGCTGGGGCACTGAGGTCAGAGGAGAGAGTGCCCCCTGCTGAGTTACACACAACACCTCCCTGCAGCACAGCCCCCCTTCAGAGCATTGGGCTCAGTACTGACCCTCTGTTGAGACACCTCCACCACTCCCTGCTGGGTCACTGCTACTCAAGAGGAGAGAGCGCCCCTACTGAGTCACCTCCCTCCCTCCTTGCAGAACCCTGGTTTTAACTGAGGTCTCTCCACCAAGTGCCAGGCCTCACCCTGTCTGTTGAGCTGGGGATTTTGTGATGAGGACGCTTGTCCCACCGGTAGCTGGACTGAAACCCACCAGCTCCCCTTGCGCAATCCAGCCATGGAATGAGGCTGGGTCACTGCTGACCAGGGCTGGATTGGTACCGATTTCCAGAGGCAAAAGGTCCCATCTTCTACTCCCATCACCATCCTGGGTTTGGTGGGCTAATCCTCCCCTGCAGACTGTACAAGTGTCCCAGGGCTCTTTGGGGCTGGCGCGGTGGCATCCTGTTGTGACCTTGCATCTTACCGTGCTGCACCAGTGTAACAACAGCACCATTGTAACGCCCTGAGTTTGTGCTAGAGCAACCTGCGCTTAGAAGCCCTTTTCTGTCTGTCTGACATATATAAGCTCCTTTCCTTGTGTTTCCCCTTTCTGCATTAGGAGATAATCACAAAGCCATCAGCCACACGACAGGGCACAGGCAGTGCCAGTGGTTGCCTGCTGGGTCTCCAAGATCCCAGGATAACAGTTACCAGGAGGAGGAGGAGGCGGCGCTGGTGACACACAAGAGGAGGTCCCACTCGTTCACCTCAGGTATGCAGCACAGGGAGACTGGGTTAGTGGCAGGAGCAGGGGACCGGGAGCCCATGGGTCGGGGCTCTGTTCCTGGCTCTGGCCCTTTGTCCAGGGAGGACTCTGCACCTCAGTCTCCCCCTCTGTAACCCTGACCCCCCTTCCAGTGGGGCTGTGCTTGTAAAGAACTTGGAGATCCTGGCATGAATGGTGGTATAGAATCCTGATTGACCGGCCTTAGTAGGCTTCTGGCGCCTGATTGGCTGGCTGTGACAGGCTGCTGCATATAAGTGGTTCGCTAGTCAGAGGTGATGGGAAGGGGGCTGAGATCCAGGCCTCTTTGTGTTCCCATCACAGAGCTGGTCCGCAAGGGCTTCATCCTCAAGGTTGGGGTTGTGAGTCGTGCTTGGTTGACCCCACTCGGGGGTGAGGATCGGGATGGAGAGTGTATGACTTATATGCAGGTTTTAGAAGAGCCATTCAAGCTGTGAAGAGTCTGAGCTTCCCAGGTTGGCCTCTGCCTGGGTTTGTGGGACTAAGCACAGCTTGACAGGCTTTCAGCTGAACCCCAGACTTGCCCACCCAGCCCTAAGGTGTCTTTCCCTGGAAAGTTCAGACTTTCCTTTTCAAGGTCTGAATTTAATTGCCAAATGCCACCATGTGATGGCGCCAACACCCTTCTCCTCACAGTGACATGTCTACAATAGAGACAGGTCTCTGCTCTGGGCACCTGGGGAGGTTGCCCCCAAAATAAAGTGGATAGGAAGTCCCTGTATTTGTATCCTATTCCCCAGTGCCCCTTATCTAGACAGTCCCCCATATGTGGGACCACATTGGAGCTGGTGCCCTGCTAATCAAAGCTCTCATACCTCCTGTGAGGGAATTGGGTTATGACACCCCCCGCCCGGCAAGCCAGACCATCCCTCTGATCAGGGGCCAGACAGGAGCTGGGGCCTGGCGGGGAAAGGCCCCATATCCCAGGCCCCCTGATAGTTCAGTGGTGGTAGTGTTTCCATGGGAAACTGCAGCCTGCCTAATGCTTCATCTCTTTCAGCCACTTACCAGAAGATCACGCCGGTGTCGGTGCCCAAGGAGCCCCTGGAGGCTGGGAGCAGCTACTCCATCACGTTGTACATCGGGGAGCAGGCGGTGGCCATGCCCAGGGCTCGCTGTCACTCCTTCGTGGCCAGGCCAGGGAGCCCACGGGAAGGCACCCCCTCTCGCCACAAGAACAAATCCGTCTTTAAGAAGTTCTTTGGGAAGAAAGAATGAGCCCGCTGGATTGGGGGGATGCAGGTTGCAAGGGGGCTTGAGACTGCTGGTCTATTAGCTCCCACTCGTGTGCCATTCTAGCAGGACCTCTCCGCCCAGCACCTGTCCACAGGGCTCCCTCCCTCCCCAGGGCTGATGGGAATACTGAGGGGAGAGACACTGCTGCGCTGGGCCGTACCAGCCTAGGGGGCTGCCCCTCACCCACCCACCCACCCCTAATGGGAGCGGCCGCCAGGGGCCAAGCTGCTCTGGCAGACACAGAGCAGGAAGGGGGTGCATTGCTGTATCTATCAGAGCCCTCTCGCTGAGCTTGCAGGGACCAGTCTTTGTGTGCCAGTAGAGCTGATGGAGCCCTGTGGGGGGGGGGGGTGTCGGGCAGCTGGTTCCCCAGCCACCCTGGGGCACAGGCTGTCCAGGGCGGGGAAAAGGGATTATTATTGTTATTAAAACCAAACAAACCAAATTATCTTGCTGTTTCTTCCTCCCCTTGCTAGCAGGGCCAGCGTTAGGAGGAGGCTCCCTTGGGCTGCGATTCTCCCGAGTCCCATGCCAGGGGGCCTTCCTCAGATCCCCCAGGTGTGCTCTAGGAACCAGTGCTTGCTAGGGGGAGCTGTGCTGGGTTCAAAGGAGAAGGGAGCTAGTCTGCGCTGCTCTGGGTTGGCGAGGGGCTCCTTGGAACACTGAAATTGCAGGGGGAGCTGGTCCTTCTCTCCGGGAAGCCTTGGCCTGAAGCGTTCCTTGTGCATGGGAGATCATAGCCCAGCCACAAGCTGCCCAGCTGACCGAACTAGAGCAGGGTCTACAGGGAACCTCACCCCCCTCCCTGGGGACACAGCCTGGAGGTGATTCCACACCACTGAGTGCTAAGCTGGTGAGCTTTCCTCTGCCTGCAACTGCCACGCCCTCCCCAAGGAGCCCTGCCTGGGGAAGGAGCTGTGGGTCAGGCCAGACCCAGACATCCCTCCCAGGGGAGCTCAGTCCAGAAGTAGCGCCTGTTCTTCACCCACTGCTCAGGTGGGATTTTCACAGGGCCATGCCCCAGTTCACATGGTTGGTGTAGGGGGTGGGTTCGTTACTCTGGCCACTGAGACCCCAGATGCTTTGCAGCAACTGCACTGGGCTGCACTTGACTCTGGTTGCTCCTGACCAACCACAAGGGCACCAAGGATGGGCACAAGGGGAGCCAGTGAGCTTCTTGGGCTGCCATTCAGAGTGGGAGGGTATCAGGCTCTGGATGGAGTAGGGGGCTGTGTGCTCAGCCCCAGGGGAAAGGTGCCCATATCACACCAGCAGGGCTGTCTCTCGCCCCCCCCCCACACACACACACAGGTGCCTCTCTTCCCTGCTGGATTTGAGGTGCTAGGATTGGATTTAAAAGGCAGGGATACTCTAGGATGACAGGGAAGGCCGTGGGTACCAAGCAAGTGTGTCGAGTTCAGGGTAAGGGGCTGCTCCTGCCAGCTTGAGAGCTGCCATCCTTCTCTTTGCCCACATCTCTGCAGCACCCTGGCCATTAGCTAGCCCCTTTCTCACTGCAGGGCTGGGCTCTACTGGTGCATGGTACTACAGCAAAGCCTGGCAGGATGGGGGGTGGCGCCTGTCAGACTGGAGCATCTGGTTTTTTCCCCAGTTCCGAAAGGAACATCTAAATGACTTGCAACTTCTAATGTGTGAGCAGGTGCGGCCCCTGGGGCAAGGGGTGGGGGCTGACCTCAGGGCCCCTGGGCTGAGCAAATAAGGTAAGGGTGGGGTCCCCTGGCACCAGAATGCGGGTAGCCAGTTCCATTCCAATCTTTGCTCAGTCCCACCTGATATCTGTGGAGTGAAATGGGCAGGTCTTGGTCCAGTTCCCAGGGCCATAGCACAACATCACAGGCAGAACTGGCACTGATTGGCTACCTTGTTGGGAGCCGCGGCCGTGAGGTCAGGGGCCGGCGGAGCCATGGAGGCTGAGCTCCTCTCTCTCCCAGGGGAAGGTCTGTGGCACACTGGCTGGCACGTGTGGGGATGCTGATCCTGCTGCTGGCCACGCTGTACCGTCTGTGCACACAGCAGGAGTCAATCTTCAGGGCAGTCAGCCTGGCGCCTATGTTGCAGTGACGTTCCCAATATCTTCCTCCTTCCCAGGCCAGGAACGATTTTTCCTCTTAGCTTCCCTGCCCCCCTCCTATTGGCTCCACCTCCTGGGTGCTGGGCCAACTCAATCACCTGCTTTCACTCTCGCCAAAGTAAACACAGCATCCATGTTGCCTTGATGGGAGCAGGCAAGAGAGGCAGCCTCCTGACCTGTGGCAGGGAGCCTCATGCTCTCGGGGCTGGGGAAGGGGCAAGCCCTGGCAGGGGCTGGAAGAAGGTGGTTGAGATGATGGGCTCAAGGGCTTGGCCACCACCTACTCCAAGAGCAGCTGGTCAGCAGTGGCATAGCATCATTCCATGGCTGCTCAGGGCTTGTGTGAGGGGGGCTGTTGAGTCTCACTCCAGTCGTTGGTGGGACAAGCGTCCTCATTGCCAAATCGCCAGCGCACCAGACAGGGTCAGGCCTTGTACTGGTACGAGAGCCAGCAGGAAAAGCCAGCGTGCTGCAGAGAGGTGTGGGTGACAGCAGGGGTGCTGTCCAGTCACAGCCAGTACTGACTCCAATGCCCCAGCCTGTGAAGGGGTGCAGGGCTGCAGGCAGCACTGTAGGTGTCTCAGTAGGGGTCGCTCTCCCCTCCGGCTCTGCACTGAAGCCCATGTTCCTGCCTGGTACTGTGTTGCTTGAGGGGTCCTTTTTGGGAAGAACCCTAAACTCAAGGCCCTGCCCGTTTGCAGACCATGAAACTCCCCAGCCCCCTTCCTCACAGGTTCTGGTGCTTAGCCCCGGACTTCCAGGCAGGTCACGTTCTACTGACAAACCTTCCCTGCAGTTTCTATGGGTGAAGCTACTTCCTCTCGCAAACTGCTGCTGCAGGCAGCGTCCACCGGCTGAGCCAGTGGGGGCTGTGCTGAGCCAGTCCCAGCCGGTGGCATGGCTCTTAAATCTGCACCTGCTGTGCAGTCTGTGGAAGGGCTTGCCTCAGCTTTGGGGTTAAGAAGAAGCGCTTCATTCCTGTGGGTGCTAGGCACGCACCGGGACTGCTCGGCCAAGAGCGGCAGAGAAGAGGAGATGGCAGTGTAAACCCCAGAGACAGCTGGATCCTTGAGGTAACAGGCTGGAGAGCGTGTGGTGTGGGACCCAGATACACAACGCCGTGAGGTGAGGAATGAGGGTGACAGGGGAGCCCTGACCCTGCAGGGCTGGAGCACGGGGGATGAGGGGGTCTGGGAGCCCAGCTCTGGGAACACAGATTGTGCTCATAAGGGTAACTTGGCTGTTCTGGTGTGGGGTGATCCTGGAGACAGAGGCACCAGCTCAGCTCCACAGGGCTGGCCTCTCCTCTCTGGGTCTGCACCTTCCCCCACTGAGCCAGGACCGTGAGCTGAGCAAAGCTCTGAAGCCTCCTGCCCCAATGTCTGTAGAAAGGCTAATATGCTGGGCTGGCCTGCACCACATGAGGAAGTGAAAGGTCCCCTGGGGAGGAGGCAGGAGCAGAACCAGCTACATGGAGTTGCTCTTCTGGTCCTTGTCCCAGGGTGTCCCCTGTCTCTCAGGGCAAACTGCTGCACCACAGGGATGCCCACCACTGCCCCCTGCTCTGGGATAGGGAGCCTCTGTCTGTCACTCACAGGGCTGGCCTGCCCTGCCCCAGGAAGCTCTAAGACAGTGGTTCTCAAACTGGGGGTCGGGACCCCTCAGGGGGTCGTGAGGTTATTACATGGGGGGTCGTGAGCTGTCAGCCTCCACCCCAAACCCCGCTTTGCCTCCAGCATTTATAATCTTGTTAAATATATTTGAAAGTGTTTTTAATGTATATGGGGGGGTCACACTCAGAGGTTTGCTATGTGAAAGGGGTCACCAGTACAAAACTTTGAGAACTGCTGCTCTAAGAAGCAGCACCTCAGTCGGTTCCTGCCAGGAGGGAGATCCTGCAGCGGGAAGTCCACAGCATTGCCTGGAGAAGGATCTGAGTCCAGCCCTAGGCACCCTGGCCTCGGGAACCAAGGAAATGGTGGCAAACGTGGAAGGGATCTGAGTGCCTGTGATGTCCCCTCATGGCCAGGGCGTGCTGGTGTGTGGGATGCCTTAGTTCTCTTCTCCGGGATGAGGGGCTGCGGAGGGAGAGAACCAGGGGCAGACACTTGCTGAAGAGTCAACGCTGGGTTCAGTCAGGTAGATGTCCAGACTGGGGAAAGGGCCGGACAAGGGGGGAGACAGTTCTCAGGCCCCTCACCCGTCTAACCCACCGAGGGCCAGAACCACTTTGTTCTGCTGCAGGTCAGGGGTGAGGGGCACGGGCAGAGCTGTGTGAGGGGAGCCCGGGGCTGGGATAGCGGGGGGGGGGGCAGGTCAGGGGCGAGGGGCAGTGGCCTGCGGAGGGTGCCCCAGCGCCCCCGCGCACTCAGCCTCTTGGAGGAGTCGAGCACTAGGACCCGGGGGGAGCCCCGCTCCCCAGCCGGGAAGCGGCGATCGAGGACCGGTAGCTGCCGCTGAGAGTTGCCAGCGAGAGGCGGCGGGAGAAGGAACCAGCCACCCCTGCGGCCACGGGAGACGTGTAAGCACCCGCCGCCACTGTGCCCCGGGGCTGGCGCGGCCCGGCTCCCCCGCCGGGCGGAGTCCCAGGCACCGGGGAAGGGGAGGGGGACGCTACAGGTTGCAAACGCAGAGCGGAGTTCCCCGCCCGCCCGGGGGTGCCCCTGCTTCCCGCCTCCCTGCGGGGACATGTCGCAGGCTCTGCACACGTGTCGGAAGTTGCTCTGTGTAACCCTGAGCGCGGCCACTGTGCTCCCAGCCCCACGTGTGGCGGTCGGTCTCCCTCCCTGGGCTGGTGCTGCTCCGGGCGTGGCGGCTCTCCGGGGTTCTCTGCCCGGCCTCCTGCCCCGTCGGTCACCGCAGCCCCCTCCGCTCTGCCCCCCCCCCCGATTCCTGCGTAGCCCCCTCCGGTTCATTCACAGTCACCGCCCTGCCCCCCACGCGTGGCTTATACACACCAGCTATATCCTATTATAACTCTTGGTTTAGAAACATATAGTTGGAGCTGTGCAGCCCCCTCGCCACCCTGCCAAGGGCCTCATGTCAGACAGTTAGAGGAACAATACTGCGATAAGCACCTTTATAGGGCTGTAACTGCATCCATACTAGGGCATTGCACTGGTTTAGCAGTACAAAATCTGTTTGTGGGCCAGCCTTCAGACTGCATCATCCCTGCTGCCCCGCCACCTTACGGGGCTCTGCCCTCGCCTGCATCTCGAGTCTCATTCCTTATGTCCTGGCCCCTTTTCCTCTCTCTCCCACCTTTGTGCATGATCCCA